TGTAAAACAGGGAAGTGATAAACTACAGTCTTAAAACTTGGCTGGCAGGGCTTGTTGTCTCTTGCAGAACTAGTTAAAAGGCATTTCACAATCTAGTCAAAGAATTTGCAAAAGTAAAGAGATAAAAATAAGCAGTGTAAACTAACAGCAAAATTTACAATAATGATTCCATGACACTACACTAGTAGTTGTAATAATGATAAACTTTGTGCAATTCAGCTTGGTTTAATCATATGCATATATATTATTAAAATAAATTCTTGATTGTTTTTGATAGCAGGATACTATAAGAGTATTGAGAACAAATCTACAGAAAAGTTGAAAACCTAACTTACAGTAAAAAGTTCAAATTTAATTTCTAACAAGCCAGTGTTCATAAAAGCCTATACTGTACCAGGTGACTTTCTTGAAATACTAATTACTTATCATCTGATAAAGATGCTGATGTGAATTTAAATGGTTTAAAGTCACAATAAGAAGGCACAAGAAAAATATATTGGCAAATTAGTCCTTGAAATAATTGCAACTTTTTCATAATACTTCTTGGCAACTATACATTTCTATTTGCCTCTAGCAAAAGAAAAACTGAAAATAGTATATTTTGTGACCATTTGTGGTTATTCATGTTGTTTGAATTCTGAATTATTTCTGTAATGTGGTTGGTGGACTACCTCAAATAGATTCTTTGGTGAACTACCAAAAACTTTCAGATACAGATTACATACTAGCTCTCCTGATCCTGTGGAAATGAAGGTGACACACATCAGAGATGCAGACCAAGCCAGCTGCTCCTCCGGTCAATGACAGGAAATAGCCCCATTCTTTCCAGAACCGGTGGGGCTAGCTGAATGATAGCTATCTCACTTTTTCAGCATAAACAAGAAATGAAATGAAATTGTTCCTTTCCAGGCTAATCACAAAGTGAGTGGTAGTGTGTTCCTAGAGCAACTCACCAGATGGTTTGAATACATTATTTTGTGTGCGTGCATGCCACATACACAAATCCTAATACTGCCTAACTCTAATGTTGGTGGCCAGAATGCCTCTTCCGTCTAGGAACTCCTCCCACATTCACTTAGGTGGATTAGATACTTGCCAACATTTTTCACCTACCCAAACCAAAAGGATAAGCAGATGTTGGTTGGCACACAGGCAGAATAAATACCAGCTGGCTATACTCTGGTTATGTAATACCATCTCCATTCACCTTGTACTCCTGTGTCTACGTGAGGATTGACAACACCTCACTGTCATGTTTCTTTATAAGGACTAGAAATAATATGTGCAAATTGGTGTAGGGACTCGTAAATGTCAGTATAGGTTGAGTATCTCTTCTCTGAAATGCTTACGACCAGAAGTGTTCTGGATTTTGAATTTTTCAGATTTTGGTCTATTTATAGTTGAGTTGAGTTATAAATAAAACAAAGTTCCATTAAAACTTCTGGCCATAATGAGATATCTTGGAGATGGGACCCAAGTCTAAACATGAAATTTATTTATATTTGATATATACTTTATATACATAGCTTGAGGGTAATTTATATAATATTTTGTTTTGAGCTGCAATTCATCTCATGAGGTTAGATGTAGAAATTTTTCACTTGTGGTGTCATGTCAGAGCTCAAATAGTTTTGGATTTTGTATCATTTTTGATTTTCCAATTAAGGATGCTCCATCTGTAGTTGCTAATGAAAAATTAATTTTATTAATTTGGTTTAACAACACCCTAGTGCAGCACAGCAAGGTTCTAGAATATTAGCATAAATAAAACAAAGTTCCATTAAAACTTCTAGCCTATAAGCCTGCAAATTGAAATCTGCCTATGTTATATAATATAGGTACTTCCTCCATCAGAAATTAAAAGTTAAAGGCCATGGATTCACTAATAGGCATTTGGCACTAAAATCCTAATATTTTATGAGGAGGGATCTCATTTCTGCTGTTTTCTATGAGTTGCTGGGTTGTCAGGTATAATATTTTATATATTACTCCATGTTACTTATGCTCTAACATTACTATTATTATCATTATTATTATTATTATTTTGGAGAGGTTTTTGCTACAGGGCACATGCGCTTGCCAGAAAGACAGAGAGACATAGAGAGACAGAAAGCAAGAAATGACCCTCTGGGGGGATGGCCACACTGCAATCTCTTCTCCTCCATTCGCCTTTTGGGATTTTGGGCACGCATGCACATGTGCCCAGCATGAGTTAAGCCATCGGGTCTGGAACTCGAACCGCGGTCGACTACACGGGAGTCCAGCGACATAGCCATTACGCTAACTGCTGGTCCCCTAACAATACTATTAAGTATCTTAATTACAAAACTGAGCTGGAACATCAAGTACTAGTATCATGAGTTTTTTTGAGAAAATCTAAAGTGCACCTTCCTTATAAAACTTAAAATAGTTATCTGATTTATCAGCAAGGCTACTGTCTAGAAGCAAAATGAGAGTGCTGAATTATGATGGAGCCATTCTCTGTACCAAAGGCTTTCAGCTGGCTACTTCTGTCTTAGAAGTTTACTGACAAGCTACTACTACAGAGCATCTATGCAACCGCAAACAAAAGAAAATTGTGCCAAACATGACTACCATCAATATTTCAACTCTCTCAATATACAAATGAAGAAGGCAAGACACTGAGTTTGCCTGCCAAGACTGAGTCAATAGTTACAAAGGCTTTTTCAAGTAAGATGTCACACATATCTCCGAAGCAGTAACATGCTGCTTTGGGACAATTCTCAAAATGTTGTGACCGAAATCTAGGCCCCGACACTATGCTATTACCATGGTTTTCTTTCTTTCTAGGACTCAGTCAGTGTCCCTTCCCCAATGTTTTAATACCCAAGGATAACCTTTCTTTTAGGGTTCATGTGAAACATAGATTCATAGTCCTTGTTCCTCTTAATTCAGTCACCCTGATATCCCGGGCAGTGGACTCACTCTGCAGAAACAGCCCATAAGATACATAAGCCTAAGTGTGCACTTGTTACTGTGGTTACTGTTCTTCCTTCACAAATGTGATATCACTTCCTTTTGACTTATAGCCATGGAGGAAGGAGCTGTATGAATGGAAATCAATTGTGGGCTAGGGATGGTGGTCCTTCATCTTTCCACATCAACAGTGAAAGTTCTAGACATAGCCATTTAACAATATCAGAACCTTGGCAAATTTTGATAAAAGAAGATTTGGACTTTAATGTTTAAGGTCCCTTCTAATTAAACATTTCCATGGTCCCATAATTTCACTTGGGGAGAAAAAGTTCTATTCTAAACATACAAATGATTAAACATACAAATGGTTTTCATAATATGTAATATTTTGATTTAAGGGAAGGTTTATTATGCTGTACAACCTTGACTAGCTAACCAAAAGTAATGAAAGGGATAGCACTACAGGGAAGCCGCTATCAGGTAGGTCGACTTCTAGAAACCTTAACCATTAGGAACACAGCTGTGAGCCAGAAGTATGTAATTGCAAGAAAATCCCATTCACTTAGCTTCTATGGAGACATAAGGCATTAGTCTCTCTTCTTTTTCAGAGAAATTAAGATAAAACAAAAGGAAAAAATTATAAATGTAGGTTTTCCTAGGGCAGAAATTCTTCTGGGGATTGTTTATTGGTTGCAGGGTTATATAGAATAGGAAGGGCAACATGAATGAAAGAAACTAATAAGCTGCTATTTCAGAACAAAGGTCTTTTTACTCGCCCATCCTCAGTCCCCTGCTTCATTAAACAGTAAATGCTAAGGAGAGCAGATTAACTCCTTCAAAGCAATCAGACCAGACAATTACTTCTCACATCCAAAATAAGAAGTATACTGATTCCTGATGATCCAATTCTGTCTGTGGCTGGAGTCTTTCCTGAAGCTCAGTGCCTAGGAAGGTGATTCACACTTCTTGTCCTAATAACCAAACATTCTTCTACTGCTGGTATCCTTTTATTGCACCTTCCCTTCCTCCTGGCCTTGGTCTGGAAATTTCAGCTAGCTCTCCAGGAGCACAGAATGACCTCAGCCGGTGGTTGAGAACTTGCACAGAGGTTTCTTTTAAGAAGTGTGGGCTTTAGATTCATAGTTAATGAATCAAACTGACATTTAATGATAAATAACTGCCATATTGTTTACTTGAGTCATTTTCATGCAAGAAAACAAAACTCCCTTATAAATGGAACATACTAGGGAAAATTCATTTTGTATTTGTCTCTGTAATTTTTTTTTTTTTTAATTACCAGAGGGCCTGTGCACTTGCCAGAAAGAGAAACAGAGAAGGGAAGCAAGAAAGCACTCCCCAATGGAGCGTGCTCATGGTGCAATCCCCTCTCCTCCATTTCTCCTTCCTATCAGGATTTGAGGCACGCCTGCACATATGCTCATCATGTAGCTACCAGGGCTAGGATTTGAGCTGTTTTTGACTATGTGGCATCTAGCTCCCTTAACTACTAGACTACAGGGCCACCCTCTAGAATGTTTTCTTTTCTTTTTAAAATTTTGCTATAGGGCATGTGCACTTGCTGGACAGAAACAGAGAGAGAGAGGGGAAGAGAGGAAAGGAAAATGAGAATGCACCCCTAAGAGGGGGAACGGCCATCCCACAATTCCCTTCTCCTCCACTGTACTCCTGGGATTCTGGGAATGCACACATATGAGCCCAGCATGTTTTTCAAGCTGCTGGGTCTGGGCCTTGAACAGTGCAGTTGGTCATGTGGGATCCAACTGCCTTAACCAGCTGGCCCTTACAATATTTGGAATGCATGATATTAAAAAATTCCAATCAGCCTTTTAAAAGGCTTTAGTGTTTGTGCTTTGTCTGCTGAGTCAATGAATGAAAAAATGAATTAATTACTGCTTTGGATCCTTAAGGACAGATATTTGCTCTCTTGCCTTAGAAAAATAATGAGTTCTTTAAAAGACCTGTGTAAGAACAACTAACATTAAAGGTGTTGGCTCCAAAGTCTGTGTTTATATTTTATGACATGATACAACTTTAAAGCCTACCTCCTCCTCTCTCCTTCTCATCCTCTTCTTCTTTCAGCAGCTTGCCAACAGAATTATACCACTTGAATTGTGGGTCAGGGATGCCATAAACACTACAATTAATCAAGGCACTGTTCCCTTCCTTGACTATGATATGGTCAGTTCTGGCAATGATTACGGGCACAGAGCCCAAGACCATGTCAGTGCCATTTAAAGTGCTGTTAGTCACACTCTTAGCACTTGCTAGAGTGGATACTAGGATTAAAAAGGGCACAGAAGGTAGAAAGCACACAGTCAGATGGCTCTTCCATTGATCCATCTTCTTTGCTTGCTCTGTAAGGCAATAGAGAGATGGTTTGCCAGTGGAATCTTCTATCAGACAACACACTGTTCAGAGCAGGCCATGGGACAAACCTGTCTTGGATCCATAGAGTTGATACTTGATTAAGAACCTGTTAAAAAAAGAAAAAAAGAGAATACCACACACACGTAAATATTAGCATCCATACTTTAAAAATACTAATTATAAAATATTAGCTCTCAGCTAAAATATAGATTTACAATTTTTTTTTATTTTAAAAAGAGACTTTTGCTATAGGGAGTATGCACTCACTGGAGAGAGAGAGAGAGAGAGAGAGAGAGACATACAAAAAGTGAGAAATCACCCCTTGGGGGTATGGTCATTCCACAATCCCTTCTCCATTCTCCTCTTTGGGTACACATGCACCTGACATAAGTTTTAAGTCATCAGGTCCAGGACTCAAACCATGGTCAACTATGTGGGAGTCCAGCAACATAACCATTATGCCATCTACTGGTCCCAATCTACACAGTTTTGTTTTGTTTTGCTTTGTTTTTTTTTTAAAAAAAACACAATCTGAAGATGTTCCAAATGTTCAATTATATTTTTCATAGAAATTGCAACAGTATAATTTTGTTATTTGTGCTATTAAAACATATAGCTCTTAGGAGGAACAAATATATTCCTACTAAGAAAATTATATATACATATAGCTATGTATACCTATTTAACAATATATGATAAATTTGTACCATATTACGACTTGGTAGAGTTCAGAAACAGATTCAGGCTTTTTTATGTAGAATTACAAGGTCTCTTTACCCTCCCACCTGTCTTCATTATGGATGTCCTGATTGTTTACTTTTGGTGTTCCTTAACCTCTTCTCTACCAGTAAATATCATCTGAGGTTTAATTCATTGTTCACAGCTTGGGCTCTGTAGCATTTAGAAGGACCAGAATTAGTCTGTATTCTTCTGACTCCCCCATGACAGCTTCTATTGAGTAGAATACTCTTTCTTCCCTTAGCAATTACCCATGTTTCTTTGCGCCACCACCGTCAAGCTTTTTCTGTTTTATTGTTATCTATTGAATCCAGGTCACTCACAGAATTCTCTAGTTTCAATCTTCATCGGCCTCCTAGAGGCTGGGGAACATCCTTACTATGTGTGAACTGACATTATGGTGGCTACGTTTCTACATCCAAGGATCTAACCTTCACCTATTCCTTTCCATTTCATCCACTTACCCCAAAGTCACATTTTGGACCTTTCATCTCCCCAAATTCTAAATTCTGAATTCCAAGTAATTCTGAAATTCCAAATAAACCACCTTTAACTGCAACCAATTGTTCCTCCAGGTCTCTTATTTGCCTCACTGGGATTCTAGCTCTTTTATTTTTCTCAGTCTCTCCCTCCCCATCCGTGATCTGCATGGTTCATTTCTGTCAGTCCCGATCCAATCACGGAGACTATAATTCACAAACTCCTCCTTATTTTTATACCACCTTGATCAAGTCAATCATTTGTTATCCTGTATGTAGTAGGCTGGGGCACTACTGGAGAGAACCACACAACCATGTAAGTATTGCCAAAATAAAAAAAGGAATGGTCTCCAACTCTACCCAGACCTTTAGTGACATCTGAAATCTATTTATTTGTGCTCAGTTAAGTATCCTCTTTCCACAATGCTGATAGACATCTTCAATTTTGGGTTTTTTGTTTGTTTGTTTGTTTGTTTGTTTGTTTGTTTGTTTGTTTTTGGCATGTGTACTCACCAGAGAGACAGAGCAAGAAATTGCCCCTCAGGGAGGATGGCTACACTGCAATCCCTTCTCCTTTTGGGATCTTGGGCACACATGCACATACACTCGGTGTGAGTTTTAAGATGACAAGTCAGGCACTCCAACCATGATGGACTATGTGGGGGTCCAGCGATGTAACCATTACACCATCTGCTGGTCCCGACATCTTCAGCTTTTAAATCAACCATCTTAGCCCAGTGGTATTTCTAGCTTCTTACAATGAAACAAAAACCCTTCCTCTCTCCTGCTAAGGCTTGCAGGCATGAGCTGCCTCTGTCCATCTTCCCACCTTTAGGAAAACATCCTGTATGGTATGCTCAGTTCTTCACCTGCCAACTACTCCTTCCACTACTACATTCTGTATTTTACCTGCCCTCTCCTAGAACAGCTCTTGCTCAAGACACAAGTCATTCCCAGTCACTACGTTTTTAGTTTTCCTCTTATTAAATCTTTGAGGCAAGTGTTCCCTGTTCAGTATTCTTTTTCAAAATTCTCTTTACATGGATTCGACATTCAACTTCTCCTAGTTGATCTCTTTATTCTTTACTACTTCCTGCTCTTCTTCTTACTCCTGAAAAGTTAATGAACTCCCAGAGTTTTTACCTTTTGTTCTCTTCTCTTTTATCTTCTCTCCTCTTTTATGGCTCTTTCCAAGGTTCTATTCCCAAACCTTTGTTACCATCCATAACCTAAGAGCTTCCAAACCCATGTGCTCAGTCCTGACACTCCTGAGTTTCATTCTGGTATTATTAACTGCCCCTGGATATTCTGCAAGTACTAAAAGTTAACATCCCAAGACCGGTATCATTAACTTATCTGCTAAACACGCTATAATTCTTGGATCTCTTATTTCAGTTCAGGACATTAGCATCTGTGCAGGTGTGCAGGGTATTATCCTCAATTCAACTATCACTCTCATCTCCCCAGGACATGGGACCTATTGGTTTTACCTCTTTTAAAATGTTCTTTTTTCATGATAAGACTGTGTCTTTATGTATGTGACAGTGAAAAAGATATGTGCACCTTCCACAGGGTCCAGGCACTGCATGCAGGCCTGGTGTGTTTCAGGCTGACCAGGCTGGGGATTTGAATTGCAGTCACCATGTGGGATCTGATTTCTCTTGAACAACACATTGCTACTGTGCTGTGGAGCTGGCCTAATTCTAGATTCTACCTCTTAAATATTGCTTGGATTTGTTCCATCCTTGCCATCACTAAGCAAGCCTCAGCTCAGGCCTCTCTATCTTCTCACAGTAGCTGTGTACAAGTAGTCTTCTCCATAACCTGCCTGTCTTCAGTCTTTTTCCAGTTCCCGATCCAGTCCCTATGACCTTTGATATGGTTAACATTCTACAACCCAAACTGTACAGTGCTGTCTCTTTACCTGGCAGTCTTCAGTGTTTCTCCTCTGCCTATCTTATAAAATCTGAATTCTCACCCTTTCATTCCCTCAGAAGTATTTGCTGAACATCTACTACATGGCAGAGTCATTATTCTTGTTCCTAGGAACATGACAGTAGACAAGAAAGACCTTTCATGTTAACTGGAGCTTATACTAAGGGATTTTAAAAGTCTGGAAAAATGAAATTAACGTTCAAGTTATTTATCTTTGGTGTAAGTTCTTTTAAATTCATGTATAATTTTTTTTTTATATAAAATGCACTTACCATGAGCTTTATTTCTTCCACAAGTGAGAAAGGGATAAAGACAGCAACCCCAATGGGGTCTTGATGCCACTATCTACCTCCAGTCTTAGCCAATCCCTGGATCATGGGCAGGATGTATGTGGCCTGCTCAGTGGAGTCTCTGAATATGAATCTGAAACTTGCCTACATAGTTCAGCCTTAGAGAGTATAGTGTTTTATTACTGCACTACTGTGGTAAGCTTTGTGAAGATTCCTCACATTCTTATGGGGAGAAGCAGACAACAAATAAGTATGTGTATCCGTAATAATTTTATTTAGTGATGTATGCTTTGAATAACGCACCAAGAGGTGCTCAAGTAATGATTTAGGCAGTCAGGGAGGACTTCACTAAGGAGGTAGTCCCTGAGTCAGGACCAGCCACTTGGGAGAAAAATATTCCAGGTAAAAAGAACAAGAGTAAACATCCTGGGGTGAGAAAGGAGAGCTACAACAAGATAGGTCAGAAGAGTAGACAAGCCCAGATGACCAAGGGCTTTATAGGCAAGAGTGAGCTTGGCTTTCATCTAATGATTTGAGGAAAATTTTGAGCAAGGGAATGGTAAGTATGATTCCCTTTAAAAAATATACTGTGCTATCACTGACATAAAATAAAATGTACCCATTTCAGGTTTACATTTTAAAGAGTTTTGACAAATCGGTATAGCCATGTAACGACCACAATAAGGTATGGAAATTTCCATTGCCACCATAAGTTCCTAAATTAGTCTGTTCTTGTGTTGCTAACAGAAATACATCAGACTGGATGATTTATAAAGAAACTGAGGTTTATTTAATTCATGATTTTGGTGACTATGAAGTTCAAAGGCAGGCCTGTATTATAGCCTGGTGGTTAAGGCAGCTGGAACCCACATGGTGTGGTTTGAGTCCCAGACTCAGAAGCTTGAGAAATATGCCAGGTATCAGGTAGGTGTGTGTGTGTCCAAAAATACCAAAAGGAGAAAGAAATGTAGAGAGGATTGTGGTATGACCATTCCCTGTAAGGAGTGTTTTCTCCTCTCTCTTCCTATGGGTCTCTCTTTGGTAAGTACACACACTCTCTAGCAATTAAAAAATAATAATAATAATAAAAATTACCAAAAAAGGAAGGGTTTGGGAGGAAAAAAGGCAAGTTCAAGATAGAGGCCTGATTGGGAACCAGCAGTTAGCGTAATGGCTATGTCTCTGGACTCCCACGTAGTCCACCGCGGTCGCGTCCCAGACCTGGTGGCTTAAAACTCACGCCGGGCGCGTGTGCGTGTGTGCCCAAGATCCCAAGAGGAGAATGGAGGAGAGGGGATTGCGGCGTGACCATCCCCTCTGGGGGGTGATTTCTCGCTTTCTGTCTCTCTGTCTCTTTCTGTCTGTCTGGAGAGCGCACGTGCCCTATAGCGAAAATTTCTCAAAAAAAAAAAAAAAAAAAAGATAGAGGCCTGATGATATCAGACTGGCCAACATGACTGAGAGAAACAGAGGATGGCTGTGATTGCAGAAACCAGGGATCTTTTTGTAACAACCAACAACCTACTCTCACAAGAACTAAACCCTTTTCTTGAGAGCTAGAACTCACTCAGCCTCTCATGAGACAGCATTAATCTATTCATGAAGTCAGTGCCTCTACGATCCATCACAATGATATAATCACTGCCCACTAGTACCAAACTCCA